CAGACAAGGAATAGTAAACGGCGGATGAGGACCTGGAAATGGCAACGTCACGTTCCCAACACTCACACACACACACACACACGACTTGGTTTGTTTAGTCACCTTTCCAACCAACGAGTGTTGAACACGAAGAGCTGTTTAAGAACTTGTTTAAATAATATTGTGAAACAGTTAAGCGTTTTGGACTGCCCAAGGTGTGGTTTAATGTGGTTAACTATCTTGGGATAACTCATGCGAGAGGGTTTGTACAACTGTGGTTGTCTCTCCGTTATTGATCATGGCAAAAATGTTATTAAACGTTATCGAGTTCACAATATTTAGGTAATTCAGCCATACTAGGATATTTTATACATGCAACCAAGCTTATATTCGTATAGATTTTGTCACTGTCTCTTCGTGCTGTTTCTGAATCCAGCTGATCATAGTTGGTAACAAAATTATCATTATTCATTAATCCACACATTATTCTGTCATATTCACCTAAGCATACGCTCCTTGGCGAAATACAAATTTGATATATTGATAAATGAGACCCCAGCAAGGTGAAAGTGAGTTATATCTACGGTAATATTTACAGGTTCAACTACAGTAAAATATTGTGTACCGTTAAAATTAGATTTGAAAGAAAAGAGCTAACTTTAACGTTGCCACTTTTGTCTCGCAGCTGTCTTGTAGGAGGTTTTGTATAAAGACATAACATTTTCTTTTAATCAGCTGATTTTGCAAGACTTAAAAATCTGACGGGAGTTGAGATCGTCGAGCTTCGCGTCTTGGTTTCACGGGGATGGCTTAAGCACTTATTCATGGAGAATACTTATGTCTGAAATAAACTAATGCGTATTTAATTGTATATGCAAATAATTAATCAAGTAAAAGAATTAGATGACTTTCATATCGAATCATTAGAAGAGTTTACATTAATGTATCAATATTTCATACAAACTAAGCCTGTAATTTTACTCGTGATTTCGAGTACTGTATCGGTTTCGCTCGTTCATAAAATGTATTTTTATTTAGTCTGTTATTTTCTAGCCCGGCTGACATGTTTCTTATGCTCTATATTTTTGCCGATATCAATTTAACTTCTATAAGAAGCGTAAACAATCCTTATGGAGAGAATCTATTGCTAATCAAGATGATATAAGCTGCACTTCCCATTCGGCATGATCAAGAGGCTGGAGGCTGGAGGCTGATGAACAATAAAAACACCTTTTACGGAATCACTATGGATTTACTATAAACCCCTATAGCTATGCCACACTTATAGATATAAATTTTATTTTTTTCTTCTTGTTTATGCATTGCCTGAAGACATTTTCAACGTATATTTATGTCCTGTTAATGTTGAAGGCACATGATTGCATTTTAATTTGGTTTATCTAACCTTTAAAATTAAATTGTTCAAGTAAATTTTACAACCTATTGTTAAACTATTGCTTGTTCTTTGGTATTTTGGCTAAAGAGTAAAGTAACATTTATAAAATATACGCTAAACAAGAGAAAACGTGTAGTCCACACCTGTGCAACGTAATCAACATGAAACACGCGTCAAAGTCGCAGGCTTCAGATATTACTATGAGAAATCGACATGCACTGTTAAAGTAAATGGAAAATAATCCTACAAGGCGTATTCAAGCAAGCGTATCCTATAAACACGACACAATATTCAATGCTGTTTGGAAAATCATATCACTGAGTTGTTAATAATTCCACGAAGTGCCGATAATCTAAACATGACACTTTGTGGAGAGGCGTTTGATATCTTAGTGGTGAGGAAAGTGGGTGTAACATGTATGTATGCAAATCATAACCGATTTACAAAATGTCAACCAATACAATAGAAATATCGTTGTTATGAACTCTTTGAATTAGATTAAATTGTAATATGTTTGATACTTTCTTAACGTTTGCAATCATTAAAGTGAATAAAATTGTAAGCATAGTTTATATAGAAGTAATAAGGACTGTTTTTGTAACTAGACCTACTGTTTTATTTTTTTTTTACAAAAATCAGCAGGATTTTACTATAAGTCTAAACTGCGGCTACGTTTATTATCTCACGGTCCTATCCTGTGTGTGTAGGTGTTATTTTTTTTTTTAAGACATGTGCGTTTTTGAATTCGCAAGTGTACATGGGCCCTTGAACTGTGCGTGGAACGTTTAAACAGTGACAATAGTCGTTCGCCTATTGGATCTGATGATGATTGGAATGTTCAATCGAAATCAATCATCACTTACCATCTTGTATACGTATTAACCGTCATGTGAGTCAACAGTATAAGTGTAAATATATGTTTCAAGTGTTATTGTATTTTTATTTACTTTCCGTAAATTAAATAACACGTGCAATACTGATCAAGTAGTTGTTTACTTATTATACTATCAATGATGTTCCCTGAAAAAATTACGTACATAACAATACGTCAATTAAAGGATGTCCTTTAAAAAATAAGACAACATTAAACATGCAAATTTGCGTTTGAAACACACATAAATTAAGCCATAAATAAAATGTGCAACTAACCGCTAATCACTACTTACTCAGTGAAAGGATGATGCGCTCCATGGCGACCTAGGCTCGTCGATGCCTCGGTCTACACTCATCTCGTAGTCCTCTCACTCGAACTTGGCACATTCACCTTCTAGGGCATCCGCCCCTGTGGCTCACCTGCGACCTGCCCGCGGGCCCGGTCAAGGATGGTCACCCTAGGTTTAGTAAGTAATGCAGCTTATGTGTACTGTGCAAGAATATAAAACTCCGGGAAGTGGGGTGGGTTGAAATAGAAAGAAAATCATGAATGGTAATTTTTTACAAAAACTCTTCGTTTCCACATAAGTCTACCAACCATTGTGTATTAAAAGAGGCCGCCAACCTTATAACAAAAAGTCAAATTTCATGAAAACGAGATCTAAATCAAATTTTCACACAGTATTATATTCAAAGCACATTTAAATTAAAATCCAATGACGTTTTAATTGCTGAAATATGTTAAGACATTAACTATAGTCGTGATCATTTTCATTTCAAATTCATAGTCATGATTTCAAATTCAAATTGACGGGTATAATCAGTATAATCATAATAGACCTAATTTTTTTATCTGAACAAAGGGATATTGCTCTAACACAATGGCTAAAATGTCTACTACTATTAATACTAATAGTGCAAGATTAACTTATACCGATTATCGTAACAATATAAAAGGTTTCAAGAGTTAAACGAGATTTACTTAATGTTTCCAACGAAACGAAGCCACAGTTTAAGGTCATTGTTAAACTGTTAGTCCCTTGTGCACCGTCCTTTTACGGGATCGCGGGTAACCGCTTTCCACAGACCACCGAATTGTTCTCCCACAACTTTTCAATAATAAATTGTTTCAGCTGTTAAACTTACACTAGGCCTATTGGTGATAACATAACATCAACTTTTTACATATTGGACACGAGGCATTCTTCAACTAGTCTTGATCACCATTTAAATGGGCACGTTCTTTGCCAACTTCACCTCGGAAATTTCTGATTTTTTTCTTAGTTGCCTGTGTGTATGTCCACCTTAAAGTTGTCTTTAAATAAGTTAGACTTGTATGACCATATGAAAAGTCGATCGGTAAAGTAATAGTTGAACTGGTAAAAAGTAAATAGTTCACTGAAGCGGAGTTGCACACGGAACAACTGGCCTTACCAGTGGCAGTGCTTCCAGGGCAACATGCCCTACTATTTTTCTCCAAGAGAATTTCTCCCAGCTCACCTTCGTGTATTGACCTCTGATGTTGGACACGGCTGAAAAACTCCCGACTGCTGTTGGAGTCTTTCCTGATGGCTGCTATGCTGTAGATGAAGCATGAACCAGCGTCGTTCGGTGGGAAATCCTTGGTTTTACCAAGGGCCTGTTGACCAACGCTGGTATCCAGAACGTAATGTAAGCTTCTAGAAAAACACAGAAGGGCTGGGAACAGAGATCCCCGCTGTCTCGCGCTGTTCGTCACCATAAACACGAGGAACCCGTTTAATTCTTCAAATTGGGGAACATACATACTTAATTCTCATCATGCGACACTGGCAGGAGAGATGGTGCAATAAGCATAGAGAGTCCTGGGAAATGTTTCCACTCAGAAAGTTCTGTTCACTCAGAATCCCATACCATACGTTAATCGGGAATTGGTCTTTTTTGGCCCCAACTCCAAAAATAATCCAAAAGTGACAGTCCGGCTTGCAAATACGAGGATAAAGCTCTGTACGCTGTTTTGGTGCAAACGGTGGGGGTTCCGAGATGACAGTTGGAGCTTGCGACGGGGGTCTTCTTGCAAAAAACCGCGATCTCTATGCTGATGGCTTCTCTTGAGAACTGGCAGAGATTAGTCTCGTTGAGCTTTGGGAAAGTTCTGGAGACAAATGGGACAAATCAAGGGTCTTCAACATCCATCATCCAGGGCCTTCCCTCATAAGGTGTATAAAATTAAAATGAAAATCCTTCTTTTATCTGTTAGGTATATAGGCTAAAGCAATGGTTCGTTTTAACTTTTTCGTCAATATAATGGAAGAAGGAGTTGTTAAAATACATAACTATATGACAGTCCATATATAAAAGTGGATGACGGCCTGGAGGTTATGTGTTATCCTTAGGTAGGTAGAAGGTTTTAGTGGGTGCGAGTCCTACCAGTGACTACATTCAATGGTCCTACACACCTTGTTAGCATAGACTAAGGGAGTATGCTGTTAGTTTAGGATGTTTGGTTCATTTTCTGATGGTGCATCAAAGCACGTTACCTCGAGAAAAAATAATACCTTACAAAGATACAAGTAAATATTTCTGGATCAACCAATGGGTTGATGTCCATGGGGTTTCCAGCAGTATCATTTTACAATTATTATAGTGAAGTAATTTGTTTTAGTTGTGTTTGGTTTGGTTTGGTTTAGCTGTTTATAGGACTTTGGATTAAATTATTGGCGAATTGAAAGAGAAGCAAATTACGTAGTGCGTAAAGTGAAGTCCAGTCAACAGTCAGCTGATTAAGTAAACATGTCTGCTGTGCCAAGTTTGTCAAAAGTCGATGGCATGTCACAGCTTTTCATTCTAAATAGTTTATTAGAACAATGAATTCTGTTTTTAAATATGAATAATTTGAACAGTTTACAATTACAGCACTATTTACATAGTTTTTCCTGTCTAGTGAACCATGATCTGATTGTATTAATTGAGTGATCGTTCATTGTGACATTATGGTGATGACTCAGTGTCAGTGTAATTACAATTTGTTATAAATATTTCCGTTCAACTAATTAGGCTAGTGAGTATGATAAAAATCCATCTACTAATTCCTCTTGCATGTTATAACTATAAGTCTACTTTTTTATTTTACATCTCTTGGACCCACAACTCATCAATCTGGAATGAGTTTTTTAGCCTATAACATTTAATCAAAATCTATTGATTTTTGTAATTGATATTTTCATTGTTATGTAACATTCATGTATATTGTTTTCGTTTGCTTTGGGTTGCTCCTTATTGACCATAACGTCATATTTTTAATAGCCTTATGAGCTTATGCTAGGCCTACATGAAGCAAACAATGCCTGTTTTTACCCTCAGATTGATTCCTAAAACCTTATTCAAAGCAGGTTCTGTACTAGAATCATAAATAATATTTAGCCCGTTGTATCTTTCAAATGCCCCTGCACCTATTTTTACTCTAACGATCTAACTTAGGCCTAATTTAATGTACACTTTAGTTTGATATCATCAATTTTAAGCCTACTTTTGGGGCTTAAGTTCTATGGATACTCTATACTTATAAGTTACGGGCACACTTCCATATCTGTTGGCACAAACAACCGAATGAAAATATCGATCGATATATCAATTAAATTTGATGTATTGATTATTCGATAGCCTATATCGTTTGGTTAGTTAGGTAAGGTTAACCTAACCTAACTAACCAAACGATATATCGATTTAAACAATCGAATAATCAATATATATTATTTTGTTATCTTCCAGAACATGGTAGTGTTTGAGCCAGATGAGAATAGGATGATTCCGACTGCAAGTTCGTTGGCAGAGCCCAATGTAACTCAGCCGTTCTCACCAGTCGAAGAAGAGTTGTTTTGTAAACTCATCTTGTACATTGAAATACCCAATACAAGGTGAGTTATATTCTAAATAAAATGTACTTTCACTTTCATCAAGGTCCAATTTGAACAAATCTGTTATTTACTTTGATCGACCTTTTTTAATGTAAACTTAACAAAGTGATTTTGTACAGTACTTCACTCACTAGAGTATTCTTTTAAAAATTTTCTTTAGTACCTACCGCACCTATTTATTTTTTGTAAGTTTTTTAAGAGTTCAATTAACAATCCATAGGGTCAAATCCGGTTGGCAAGATGGTAACAAGTGATGACTGTTTCCAAACTTGACTCCTTGAGGACTAAGCAATGGCTAGTAGGCCTACTCAAAACTAGACATAAAAATACATTTGGTTACCTTTATAAACTAATTCAAAAATTGTCTCTACTGTTGATTAATCAAATAATAGTTTTCTTTCCAAATAACATTAAACATTCTTGTGAAAGTAGTTTCTGGTTATAAATGTCTGGTAAGTTCCTAAGATCCTAAGTAGTTTTTTTTAGAAGTCTCAAGTGTTTTAGGTACGGTAAGTCAGTGGTTTAGTCAGTAGCGCTACGGAATTTGGGCACATGACAGATTCACCCTTGTACTGTTACCAGCTCACCTCTTGCTTTGCTGAATAAATCCAAGCAGAGGCCTGTGTGTATTATGTGGACGGGTACATTGCATGTAAAAAAGCTTTCAAATTGCTTCAAAATGGCTTAAAATCAAAGTTATTTAATTTACTTTCACTCGGTTAATTTGGAATGTTTCAGGATTCGAGCATGGGACGTTATCATCCTGGTTCCGAATCTCCTTTTCCTGTTGTTTCTGGCTTTTCGATTCAATCGAGCCAGACTCAAACTGCGAGCCACAAGCAGTCCAATATTTTTTGCGTTCTATGGATTGGTAAGTCAGTTGTTAAATGTTCTTAGTTGTGTTACATCACTCCGCAATGTGTGCCTTCTGTGATTTCACAAAACTTAGCATTTCTTTTTTACTGAGGACTTATTAGAATAGTAATCATATTATCTTAAAGTTTTATCAATGTTTTTACCCAAATATGAGTGAAGGATAAGTATAGAATGTTGTAAGATGATCTGTGTAGCTGTGTTAATGGCTAAGCTCAGCTTTTTCATCATTCAGTTGATCATTTATTTAAAGCCCAATGATTTGGGTCCAGTTCCACACCACAACTTTTTGAGTACTTTAACCATTTAACTACCCAGTTTAAGAGTACGGTACATAGAAGGAATGGTACCGGTACCAAAAAGTTTTCTCTAAGAACTTTCTTTAAAAATGCAATAAGTAATTGGTAGCGTACCTTTTTACCTACTTGCTTGGTTACCGGTAGTTTAGATTATTATAGACAGGTTAACCTATGGTTAGCATATGTCCAATGAAGCTGGTTTCTGCCAAGCACTTATTCTTTCTTATGTCCTATGAAGTTTATGGTCTATGTAATTGTAGGCCTAGCCTTCATATTTCCATCAAGCTGTTGAATGTCTGAATCCATGCTGTATGTTGGTGTTATAGGTGCTAGTGAACGTTACAATCAGCGTCGTCCGCTGTTTGGTCTCTATGAGCGTCAACGCAGCGGCCATTGTCGGAGGTTATGTTGACACATTCCTCTGGATCACAGTCAGGTTCTTCTTACTCTCTACAGAGATGAGTGTTGTCATATTCGGCCTAGCCTTTGGTAAGTAACACTAATTTTCATGTCTAGTATTGCTCGTCAATTAGGCCTAATAAAATGTAACTGGGCAATTTGTTTAAAATTACCTGTTTATTAGTTTTAATTCGTTTATTTTAGGTTATTTTGTTAAGTTATAATATGTTTTTATTTTATGACGTTAGCACATATTGACATAGCCTATTTAACAAAAATAAAAGCCAAAAAATAAAATTTCTTGTTCTTCTCCTCTATAATAGCTTAAATTAAAAAGTAGCAAATCAAATATCTGTGCAATCGTTTTTAACCTTACTAATGCTTTCAACTTCCGTGAACCCAAGTTGAAGTTGACACTGTTTATGGTTATTAGTTAGCGTTCCCTTAATAATGAAAGTCTAAGGAACCCCTGACTATTATTGCAGTTTTTCCCATCTATGTTCCTAGGCCACCTTGACAGCCGTAGCAGTATACGCTACGTTCTGTTAGCAACCTCACTACTCTCGTTGGCGTTCTCCATCAGTCAAGGGGCGCTGGAGGTGTTTGCACCTGACGAGAGTTTCAGGATACATTCCAAAGACTTTAACATCTTCGGCCACGGAGGCATGCTGTTTTGGTTCTCCAGTTCTGTAGTCTTTTCATTGGTGAGTGATTTAACCATTTTAAACTCAATGGATTAAGTGATTTAGTCAAAATTTCTTATTGTGTTTTTCTTATTGTGTCAGTATTTGGAACTTAAAGGGGAAAAGATTGTTAACTATTAGTAAAAAATTAAAGCGCTATGATTGTGGTAAGCAACTCTTTAATCTGTCTGGACCTCTTCTTAAAGCTGCAAGCTGCTAGATTGCTCTTGAATATGATTGATTCTGGACTTGGCCACCATTAAAAATTGATAAAATCCAAACCCTGATCATAAAATGTTGATAACTTCTTTTTTAAATAAAGATGGAAATCAATAATTAACTATAGTTTTTTTTGTCTGCAAATGGTAGCCATAAGAGTTTTAGCTGATATGTAGAGCGTCATTCTATTTGCTAAATTTAAGGACGAAGAAACTTTAAAAAAATTGAGCAGTTTACAGTCTTGCAATACCTAACTTTCAATATTTAAAAAAAGTAAATTTGTCTACTTCATGGTGTATGTTGTTTTTCTGAATCACTGATGATAAATTATATATAAGGTTACATTACCTTGATCGCCAAGTGATCCTTGTAAGTCCAAAAAATAGGATTACGCGCGTTTCGAAGTCAAAGCGTCATTGTCAAATCGTACAAAAAATGGTTTAGAAAGTTTTTGTACGATTTGACAATGACGCTTTGACGTCAAAACGCGCGTAATCCTATTTTTTGGACTTACAAGGATCACTTGGCGATCAAGGTAATGTAACCTTATATATAAATTTGTCTAGTTAACCTTTTAAATTAATTAACTTGTTGGACAATTAACATGATGGTTGTAATCATCTGTTTATCTTGTCTTAAGCCTATCTTATCTTGTCTTTCCGGTTTGTTTCAGATATACATTGTTATTTTGATACTTCCTTGGACAAGACTTAGAGAAAGGTTAAACCTTCCTAGTAAGTAGAATGTATTTGAACTGTTACTTTGTATAAACTAACGTGCTAAAACACTTATAACTAAAGTTATATAGCCAAAAAACACTTCAGTAAAGCCCGCTTATTCGGCACCCAATGGTCCGGGTGTAGTAAAAGTCTAAAAGAACTTTGTCTAATGCTTTCCAAGCCATATTCCGTATTGGGCAGATTCGGGAGCAAATGACAGATGTTGATCGCACTCTGTATTTTGAGTGTTGGAAGTATTTGATTTCAATTATTTAATTTTCCCCCATTTTATATTGTAATTAAAACAAGAATAATAGGCTGCCAGTGAACTATTTCCTGTTGACACTGTAATTAGAGGTATTTTTGCCGATCTGGCAGTAACAGCTGTTGTTAGAATACTTTCTGTAACCTGTGGTGAGATAATTTTATCCTAATTATTCTATGAAATTTTAGGGGGGGAAACGCTTCCCCGTTTTAATTCATACGGATTCAACCCACAATATATAGAGTATTTTGGTCTCTCACATACTTGGGAAATTGGGACACATAGAATCAGTGTTTCAATAGAATATCATGTATGTTACCTTGTTTCAGCCAAGAAGTCTTTCTACCTGTACATCCTGTTCCTTGCGCTCCTCAACATTGCACAGTCCGCTGGTAGTGGGATGTTGTTCTACGGAGTGCGAGAGGGGCTCTGTGTGGTGGACATCACCACTTGCGTATACTTCACGTTGTTCACACCCCTCGTCTATCATACGTTCCTTAGCGAGTTCTTTGGGTGAGTTTAAATGTAGTTGTACCCACGTATGTCGTGAAAGGTGTGGTTAATAAAACATGTTTTTGGTAGTTTATAGTTTATCAATCAAAATCATGAATGAAGAGGTTGAAAATAACTATTCACATTATAATCATTGGTTCTGTCAAACAACCTTAACCCTCTCAATTAATCACCTCAGTAGGCCTATTTGCTCTCTCCGACCAGCTCAGGATTGTAATTGAAAATTATCAAACAATCCATTATTCTGTATGGATAAGTTACTGATTTTATCAGTAAACTTTGATTTAAAAGCGCATTCCATTGGCTCCATTGCCATTTACTTTTTCAATATTTATACCACGTCAAACAAAAATGTTACCGAATACATAGAAATGTAGGAAAAATGCTGCAGGAATAAGCTTAAGCTTAAGTACAACAAATCACTCAAAGCTCAAATACACTCAGTAAATATTTCAACATACAATTTTATTTTGATAAATAACGGTTTTTAAAAGTTCATACAACACAGTAATGCAACGGATAAATGTGTAATAAACTAAATACGCTGAAAAATTATAAAATGATACTGTGCAGTACGGTCACATGACTATAAGAAATAGTTGACCTAACAGAGGTAGGTATTTTGTACTTCTTTGCAATGGAACCAATAACTGAAGGAAAACATTGATTATTATGGAGAGAAACTTAATTTGTGAGCAAATGACTTGATGTTTGAGGCCAACCAAACCGTCCTAAAACCCCCAACCTAACCAACTGAGGCTGAACTTTTACAAAAAATTTTGATATAAGTTTATTGCCGATTTTAACGAATCGTGAGCCTAACCTCTTTTGGGTCAAAACTATTGTTTATTTCTGAGGTAGGATCACTCTTGTTTCCTTACCCCTATTTAACTTGTAACATTAGATTTCCCCAACCTCCATATCCGGCCCAGTTGCCCAACTTTCAATGCTAACGTTGTCCCACAGAGTGTCCCAGCCGAGTATAATGTTCTCGTACAAGGCACAAGTAGATGACAACATGGAGGACGACACAGTGTCACTTCCACATCAGCAATCATTCTCTTCTCTCAAGACCGATTCAGACTACATTTATCAGGTAATAATCTCGCAAGATGTCAATTCAAGTTGACGTAAAAAAGTTGTAAGCTGTAAGGTTCTGATGTAGGCTGTCAAAATGGTGTATTGTTAAACGGAAGAGAGTTTTGTAGTCAACGTTTGTACTATGACGATAAGCATACCTCATGTGGTTCTAAGGTCCCCCCTGCCGTACTACAGTAGTTTCAAGCAGTGTGATCAATGTTAAGATTTGTTGCGTCTTTGAACAATAATTAATGAACAACGCTTGAACTATCTTGAACATTGATCAGTTTTTATTTTAAGTAATTCATATTTATAAATAGTTAGTACCTGCTCTTAATTTGTTTACAAATACCTAATTACATAGCTTGGTTATTTAGCATGCTTCATTGTTTTTGGTTTAAAAAAAATTAAGAACTTTTAAGTCCTTCAAACCAGTTTTTGTTTGTTAATTAAAGTAGATTATATTTTATATTAGCGAATTTCCCTATAGGGAAGTAGCTATTACCGTAGGTCTCATGGTAAGACTTAGGCCCGGGACCGATTTACTTTTTCATTTTGATGTCCCCAGAGGCCAAAAACACCACTCGTTCAAATTTTTATATATGTATATATATATATATATATATATATATATGTGTGTCTGTGAACACGATAACTTGAGTAATTTTTATCCGATTTTGATGAAATTTGGTTTGAAGGTGTAAGGCGGGATAAACTTGAACGAGTTCGCGATCCAGCATGATCGGACCATAGGAACAGGGTTTTATGGGGGGTTTTATGGGGTAAAAATTGGTTTTTCTCACTTTTGACCCGCAAAACACAAAATTTCCCAATTTTTCTCTAAACCTCCTTAAAGAGCTTAAAAAAACAAACAATTCAGTATATCAAAGTGTTTTTGTACGGATACTGGTTACGGAGAAAACTAAAAAAATGGTAAATTTAAAATTCCCATGTTATTCTTATGGAGAATATTGTAAAATGTGTAGTTTGCTTGTTTATGGATATCTTTTGATCAAACTTAGCAAATATATTCATTTTATACTAAGCAATAATTATTTTACTTAAAACACACACTTTATTAGTTTCCTTGTAGCAGCAAACCTAGGTACTCGTTAAACCTAATGTTATTTAAATAAATCAATTGAAAATCAATTCAGCCAAATGGAAATTCGCTTAGGCGTCAGGTTTGCTGCGGCGGGGGTATTTGGATCTTAAAAAGCTGTATCTAATAAGTAGGTTTCATCACTTAGTGTAAATATTATCATTTTTGTAGGTTGCAATTTTTGTTTTTAGTTTGCATGGTAATCAATGTGGTATCAAGTAGACTTAGATTTAGCTACAAAACTTGATTAAGTGCAAAAGTTATTCAACCCCCCTCTCCTCCCACAAAAATGTTCATGAGATTTTATCAGTTTTGATAAAAGCACTATTAGGTCTTAATTCTTAATGATGGAAAATGGTCTATAATATTAAAGACAAGTTTTAATTTACTCATTGATACAATTATAGATAAACATGTTTAAAATCTTATTATTACTGAAACAAAAATCTTACAAATATAAAGTATTGATCTAATGTCCAAAGATCAAATTAAATTACTACTGTACCTGTTTTGTTTTGTAGGACAGAACACTTAATACTCAGGAAATAAAATCTATTGGTGAAATATATTCTATCAGCGGAGGAAGTTTGGCACGGGAGGTAACTATTAAGTGTGACTTTTGTGTTGAGGGGACGTCACATAAAAAATACAAATGTTGTCTGTTATTAACGTCTAGTCTACATTGACTTCCCATCGTAGCCAAGCAAGCTAGTTCTAATCTTTGACAAATGTTGTGTTCTCTATTTCATCCTAGTATATGTTCACCCCAGATCCAACGATCCAACATAGTGTAGCATATGGATGGAAAGCTTATAAAATGGCACAGTTTTCAACACATTTTGCTACTTTCTTGTATACAGGGTGTACTTACACCAAAAGATTTTTGTCACACTGACTACCAATCTCCATGCATATATATAGGCTATAGATGTATATATGTGTGTCTGTGAACGCGAAAACTGAGTAATTTTCGTCCGATTCAGATAAAATTTGGTTTGAAAGTGCAAGACAGGATAAACTTAAATGAGTTCGCGAACCAGCATGATTTGACCATGGGAACAGGGTTTTACAGGAGGTTTTATGGTGTAAAAAATTATTTTTCTCATTTTTTACCCTCAAAACAAAAAATTCCCAATTTCTTTCTAGACCATTTTGAAGGGCTCAAAAACCAATTTGGATTATCAAAGTGTTTTTGTGCAGTTACTGGTTATGGAGAAATTAAAAAAAAATAATTGTAAATATAAAATTCCTATGTTATTCTTTTAGAGAATATTTTAAGTTGTAGTTTGTTTGTGGATATATTGATCAAACTTGGCAAATTTATTTATTTTATCATAAGCTTTTAATATTTTACCAAAAGACACTTTATAACCCTCCCTGTAGCAGCAAACCTAGTTACTTAATATTATTTAAATAGATTTAATTGAAAATCCAACCAAGCAAGTGAAAATTTGTTCAGTTTGCAGGTTTGCTGCGGCAGGGGTATTTGTTTACTATAGCAAGACTGATAGTCTAATAAGGGTGGGATACAGCTAAAAATAGTAGTGATTATACTAACAAAAACAATATTGGTTCCAGATTTGTAATAGCTTGCTTGGATGCGACAGGAGCTTGATGTAGACCTTAATTTACAGACAATTTTTGTTTATAACCTTAGGAAAATATCCGTTGGGTTTTCAATCCGTCATTACAGTACTAACTTTCACTCACTGGTTTTAGAGCACGCTTCCAACATTTTATACCTGTTGTTTGGTTTCAGTGATCTTTGTCTTTTTTGAAATCTTTTCCACAGTGTAAATCAGGCTCGTTTGGTTGTGGTGCGTCAATGGTGTGGTGGTTAAGTTAGGTTAAGGTAATCGTTGATTACAGTTGAGGCTGGATGTACAACTACAAGTGTTAGTAGTTAAGTCTGTTGCAGGTCTTTTTCCCCTTTGTATACTGAGCGGAAGTGTGTATGACAGTACTCACTTTGACTCATGCCAGCTCCAGCTGCTCTCTACAACAGTTTTTTGCAGGCCTGACAGTATCACTGGCCACTGAGTACTGTCTGGACAGCCAGACTATAGACCTGATGTGCTAACTCACACTAACTCATTGCACTCTATCCTGTTCACAGAGCAACAGTGTGTATGACAGTACTCACTTTGACTCTGTCATGCCAGCTGCTCTCTACAACACTTCTCTACAGAGTCCTGACAGTATCACTGGGTACAGTCTGGACAGTTAGTATAGACCTGATGGTCTGACTCACACTAACTCATTGCACTCTATCCTGTTCACAGAGCAACAGTGTGTATGACAGTACTCACTTTGACTCTGCCATGCCAGCTGCTCTCTACAACACTTCTCTACAGAGTCCTGACATATCACTGGGTACCGTCTGGACAGCCAGACTATAGACCTGATGTGCTAACTCACACTAACTCATTGCACTCTATCCTGTTCACAGAGCAACAGTGTGTATGACAGTACTCACTTTGACTCTGTCATGCCAGCTGCTCTCTACAACACTTCTCTACAGAGTCCTGACAGTATCACTGGGTACAGTCTGGACAGTCAGACTATACACCTGATGTCCTGACTCACACTAACTCATTGCACTCTATCCTGTTCACAGAGCAACAGTGTGTATGACAGTACTCACTTTGACTCTGTCATGCCAGCTGTTCTCTACAGCACTTCTCTACAGAGTCCTGACAGTATCACTGGGTACAGTCTGAACAGTTAGATATAGACCTGATGTTCTGACTCACACTAACTCATTGCACTCTATCCTGTTCACAGAGCAACAGTGTGTATGACAGTACTCACTTTGACTCTGTCATGCCAGCTGTTCTCTACAGCACTTCTCTACAGAGTCCTGACAGTATCACTGGGTACAGTCTGGACAGCCAGACTATAGACCTAATGTCCTGACTCACACTAACTCATTAAACTCTATCATGTTCACAGAGCAACAGTGTGTATGACAGTACTCACTTTGACTCTGTCATGCCAGCTGCTCTCTACTACACTTCCCTACAGAGTCCTGACAGTATCACTGGGTACAGTCTGGACAGTTAGATATAGACCTGATGGTCTGACTCACACTAACTCATTGCACTCTATCCTGTTCACAGAGCAACAGTGTGTATGACAGTACTCACTTTGACTCTGAAATGCCAGCTGCTCTCTACTACACTTCTCTACCGAGTCCTGACAGTATCACTGGGTACAGTCTGGACAGCCAGACTATAGACCTAATGTCCTGACTCACACTAACTCATTAAACTCTATCATGTTCACAGAGCAACAGTGTGTATGACAGTACTCACTTTGACTCTGTCATGCCAGCTGCTCTCTACTACACTTCCCTACAGAGTCCTGACAGTATCACTGGGTACAGTCTGGACAGTTAGATATAGACCTGATGGTCTGACTCACACTAACTCATTGCACTCTATCCTGTTCACAGAGCAACAGTGTGTATGACAGTACTCACTTTGACTCTGAAATGCCAGCTGCTCTCTACTACACTTCTCTACCGAGTCCTGACAGTATCACTGGGTACAGTCTGGACAGCCAGACTATAGACCTAATGTCCTGACTCACACTAACTCATTAAACTCTATCATGTTCACAGAGCAACAGTGTGTATGACAGTACTCACTTTGACTCTGTCATGCCAGCTGCTCTCTACAACACTTCCCTACAGAGTCCTGACAGTATCACTGGGTACAGTCTGGACAGTTAGATATAGACCTGATGGTCTGACTCACACTAACTCATTGCACTCTATCCTGTTCACAGAGCAACAGTGTGTATGACAGTACTCACTTTTACTCTGAAATGCCAGCTGCTCTCTACTACACTTCTCTACCGAGTCCTGACAGTATCACTGGGTACAGTCTGGACAGCCAGACTATAGACCTAATGTCCTGACTCACACTAACTCATTAAACTCTATCATGTTCACAGAGCAACAGTGTGTATAACAGTACTCACTTTGACTCTGTCATGCCAGCTGCTCTCTACTACACTTCTCTACCGAGTCCTGACAGTATCACTGGGTACAGTCTGGACAGTTAGATATAGACCTGATGGTCTGACTCACACTAACTCATTGCACTCTATCCTGTTCACAGAGCAACAGTGTGTATGACAGTACTCACTTTTACTCTGAAATGCCAGCTGCTCTCTACTACACTTCTCTACCGAGTCCTGACAGTATCACTGGGTACAGTCTGGACAGCCAGACTATAGACCTAATGTCCTGACTCACACTAACTCATTAAACTCTATCATGTTCACAGAGCAACAGTGTGTATGACAGTACTCACTTTGACTCTGTCATGCCAGCTGCTCTCTACAACACTTCCCTACAGAGTCCTGACAGTATCACTGGGTACAGTCTGGACAGTTAGATAAAGACCTGATGGTCTGACTCACACTAACTCATTGCACTCTATCCTGTTCACAGAGCAACAGTGTGTATGACAGTACTCACTTTGACTCTGTCATGCCAGCTGCTCTCTACTACACTTCTCTACCGAGTCCTGACAGTATCACTGGGTACAGTCTGGACAGTTAGATATAGACCTGATGGTCTGACTCACACTAACTCATTGCACTCTATCCTGTTCACAGAGCAACAGTGTGTATAACAGTACTCACTTTGACTCTGTCATGAAAGCTGCTCTCTACTACACTTTTCTACAGAGTCCTGACAGTATCACTGGGTACAGTCTGGACAGTTAGATAAAGACCTGATGGTCTGACTCACACTAACTCATTGCACTCTATCCTGTTCACAGAGCAACAGTGTGTATGACAGTACTCACTTTGACTCTGTCATGCCAGCTGCTCTCTACTACACTTCTCTACCGAGTCCTGACAGTATCACTGGGTACAGTCTGGACAGTTAGATATAGACCTGATGGTCTGACTCACACTAACTCATTGCACTCTATCCTGTTCACAGAGCAACAGTGTGTATGACAGTACTCACTTTGACTCTGTCATGCCAGCTGCTCTCTACAACACTTCTCTACCGAGTCCTGACAGTATCACTGGGTACAGTCTGGACAGTTAGATAAAGACCTGATGGTCTGACTCACACTAACTCATTGCACTCTATCCTGTTCACAGAGCAACAGTGTGTATGACAGTACTCACTTTGACTCTGTCATGCCAGCTGCTCTCTACTACACTTCTCTACCGAGTCCTGACAGTATCACTGGGTACAGTCTGGACAGTTAGATATAGACCTGATGGTCTGACTCACACTAACTCATTGCACTCTATCCTGTTCACAGAGCAACAGTGTGTATGACAGTACTCACTTTGACTCTGTCATGCCAGCTGCTCTCTACTACACTTCTCTACCGAGTCCTGACAGTATCACTGGGTACAGTCTGGACAGTTAGATATAGACCTGATGGTCTGACTCACACTAACTCATTGCACTCTATCCTGTTCACAGAGCAACAGTGTGTATGACAATACTCACTTTGACTCTGTCATGCCAGCTGCTCTCTACTACACTTCTCTACCGAGTCCTGACAGTATCACTGGGTACAGTCTGGACAGTTAGATATAGACCTGATGGTCTGACTCACACTAACTCATTGCACTCTATCCTGTTCACAGAGCAACAGTGTGTATGACAGTACTCACTTTGACTCTGTCATGCCAGCTGCTCTCTACTACACTTCTCTACCGAGTCCTGACAGTATCACTGGGTACAGTCTGGACAGTTAGATAAAGACCTGATGGTCTGACTCACACTAACTCATTGCACTCTATCCTGTTCACAGAGCAACAGTGTGTATGACAGTACTCACTTTGACTCTGTCATGCCAGCTGCTCTCTACTACACTTCTCTACCGAGTCCTGACAGTATCACTGGGTACAGTCTGGACAGTTAGATATAGACCTGATGGTCTGACTCACACTAACTCATTGCACTCTATCCTGTTCACAGAGCAACAGTGTGTATGACAGTACTCACTTTGACTCTGTCATGCCAGCTGCTCTCTACAACACTTCTCTACCGAGTCCTGACAGTATCACTGGGTACAGTCTGGACAGTTAGATAAAGACCTGATGGTCTGACTCACACTAACTCATTGCACTCTATCCTGTTCACAGAGCAACAGTGTGTATGACAGTACTCACTTTGACTCTGTCATGCCAGCTGCTCTCTACTACACTTCTCTACCGAGTCCTGACAGTATCACTGGGTACAGTCTGGACAGTTAGATATAGACCTGATGGTCTGACTCACACTAACTCATTGCACTCTATCCTGTTCACAGAGCAACAGTGTGTATGACAGTACTCACTTTGACTCTGTCATGCCAGCTGCTCTCTACTACACTTCTCTACCGAGTCCTGACAGTATCACTGGGTACAGTCTGGACAGTTAGATATAGACCTGATGGTCTGACTCACACTAACTCATTGCACTCTATCCTGTTCACAGAGCAACAGTGTGTATGACAATACTCACTTTGACTCTGTCATGCCAGCTGCTCTCTACTACACTTCTCTACCGAGTCCTGACAGTATCACTGGGTACAGTCTGGACAGTTAGATATAGACCTGATGGTCTGACTCACACTAACTCATTGCACTCTATCCTGTTCACAGAGCAACAGTGTGTATGACAGTACTCACTTTGACTCTGTCATGCCAGCTGCTCTCTACTACACTTCTCTACCGAGTCCTGACAGTATCACTGGGTACAGTCTGGACAGTTAGATAAAGACCTGATGGTCTGACTCACACTAACTCATTGCACTCTATCCTGTTCACAGAGCAACAGTGTGTATGACAGTACTCACTTTGACTCTGTCATGCCAGCTGCTCTCTACTACACTTCTCTACCGAGTCCTGACAGTATCACTGGGTACAGTCTGGACAGTTAGATATAGACCTGATGGTCTGACTCACACTAACTCATTGCACTCTATCCTGTTCACAGAGCAACAGTGTGTATGACAGTACTCACTTTGACTCTGTCATGCCAGCTGCTCTCTACTACACTTCTCTACCGAGTCCTGACAGTATCACTGGGTACAGTCTGGACAGTTAGATATAGATCTGATGGTCTGACTCACACTAACTCATTGCACTCTATCCTGTTCACAGAGCAACAGTGTGTATGACAGTACTCACTTTGACTCTGTCATGCCAGCTGCTCTCTACAACACTTCTCTACCGAGTCCTGACAGTATCACTGGGTACAGTCTGGACAGTTAGATATAGATCTGATGGTCTGACTCACACTAACTCATTGCACTCTATCCTGTTCACAGAGCAACAGTGTGTATGACAGTACTCACTTTGACTCTGTCATGCCAGCTGCTCTCTACTACACTTCTCTACCGAGTCCTGACAGTATCACTGGGTACAGTCTGGACAGTTAGATATAGATCTGATGGTCTGACTCACACTAACTCATTGCACTCTATCCTGTTCACAGAGCAACAGTGTGTATGACAGTACTCACTTTGACTCTGTCATGCCAGCTGCTCTCTACTACACTTCTCTACCGAGTCCTGACAGTATCACTGGGTACAGTCTGGACAGTTAGATATA